ACGAAATACCAGCCTGGGTGGGTTAAAGAAATTTATTATCTCATGGTTCTGTAGACTAGAAAACCAAATTCAAGGTGCTGTCAGGGTCGGTTTCTGGTGAGGCCTCTCCTCCTAGCTTGAAGATGGCCGCCCTTTTGCTCTGTCCTGACATGGCCTCTCTTTGTGGGCCTGGAGAGTAAGTTCTGGCGTCTTCCATCTTCTCATAAGGACAACAATGCTATCTGACTAGGGCTCCACCCTTATGATCTCATTTAACCCTAACTCCCTCCTTAAAGGCTGTATCTCCAAATATAATCACATTGGTAATTAGGGCTTCAACATATAAATGGGGGGGTGGTAGACAGAATTCGGTTCATAACAATACCTAGTGAATGAGCAGAGCATAGCTACTCTGAGCAATGTGGGGGTCATTTGCCCAATGGTTAAAAAGACAGACTCTGGATTTAAATAGGCATGACTTTGAATTCCAGTTCTCCAACTTTATTTACTTATTTTTTCATTTAATCATTGAACGAATATTTAGTAAGCATATGTGTATGAAGGCTTTGTTAAATAGTTTAAGCACCCTGGGGTGAATAGAGCATCTCAGCAGACACCATCTCTGTCTTTAGAGAACATAGTTCAGTGGGAATATTGGTCAATAATCAAAAAACCCTACAAATATATAATTCCCTGCTGCGAGATCTCATACAAGTTACTCGAGCATCATAAGGCTCAATTTCGGGGCACCTGGGTGGTTCTGTGGGTTAAGCATCTGCCTTCGGCTCAGGCCCTGATCCCGGGGTCCTGGGGTTGAGCCCCACATTGGGCTCCCTGCTCAGTGGGGAGTCTGCTTCTCCCTCTCCCTCTGCCCCTCTCCCCTGCTCATGCTCTCTCTCATGTATGTTCTCTTTCTCTCAAATAAATAAATAAAATCTTTAAAAAATAATAAACTGAAAAAAGTTATTTAAAAAAATAAGGCTCAATTTCTTCATCTGTAAAATGGGCCAGTAATAGCATCTGCATCATAGTGTTTTGTAGGAAATGATGTGATAAGATGCATATAAGACACAACACAGTGCCTGACATGGAGGTAGTACAAACAAGCAAACAAACAATAGAAAACAGCAGTACAGTATCTCCTAAATCCTTAGAAGAGACCCTCCTCCCATCAAGAGGAAAATAATGGATTGTAGATTGGTAAAAACCAATGAATCACTAGTTACTACAGCATTCTTCATGTGAACACTAATGGAGCATAAAGATATGGGACAATGTTGTCTCTCTCTTACCTTTGTCAGGCCACACATCACATGTCCAGAGGAGTGCTGGACACCCTCATGAAGCCACGTGTGAAAGATAGCGCTCCTCAGTTCATCCTCTTTTTCCTGACTTGTAAAGCAAACAATCTGCTCCCACGAAATAGTTCTGTGAATAGTTGTCCTCATCTGTAAAAATAAAGGTGTAGGAGAGAGAATTCTTAAGCCTCAGAATCCTAGGCTTTAAATAAGATTAATGATTAAGATTAGTAAAATAGCATGGCGATACAGGCTTATTTTATGCGACATAAGGACCTTGAGAATCAGACCAAAACCCAAAACAAAAGAAGAATCAATCGTTTCAAGTGGACTTAATATGTGAAGTTGCGACTTATAGTGATCCCAAGTATGTCTTTCCTTCTCTACACCCTCAAGTAGTTAGAGTAAGTTGATCCTTGACAATTCCACACAGCTGTTAAATTCAGGGCCTTTGGTGTTAGGCCAACTTGGTTTTGAAAGTTGGCTTGTAGGTGTGTTCCCGGTACATAGTAGACTCAATAAGTATGTGTTTAAGTAATGTTGAATCCTTAAGTACTGACTCTGCTCTTTTCTGATTGTAAATCACTTGGCCTCTCTGTGCCTCAGTTTCTCCACTATAAAATGGGAAGAGAAACAGTGCCTGCCCCACAGACTTGTTCTGGGGCTGCTGTGGGATAATTCAGGCAGAGCCCTGCATACAGCAAGTGTATGAAGGGTTAGCTATTGTTGTTGCAAAGAGGATTGTCTCGACGATTCTCTGGGTTATTTCCATTCAACAATTTTGAGTCATCCAACAATTTTCCAGGGTGGCAATAAATGCAGGCCAATGTCCTTGCTAAAAGAGAAATCTGGCCCCTAGGAGAGAAGCTGTCAAATCCTGAAAAGGGGATTTTGTTACCAAAACTGCCTGGCACTTCCTCCCTTCACCCCAGGGTCTACACCCTTTGTTTCTCTTTTCACCGCATACCGTTCAGATCAAAGTGTTTTTGCCCTGCTTATCCTCTAAAGCACATATCAGTAGGCTAACGGTTGAAGATCATGGGCCTCCATCTCTCTCTACCTTGTCTAGGCCATGCTTGGTGGAGCCAAGGCCCCAGCTGGCGTGGGGGAAGTCCCAGTGAGCACACTGTGCACCTAGCAGATGTAAAAAGCTCGGTGCAGTGATCTGGGTGCACCTGTTGGTTTGTCACCATCTGTTAGCCAAAATGTTAAAGAGCCACACCCTCGGACGGCCAGCTGAGGAGAACTTAATCCCTTCCCCCACAGGCCTCCCATTACAGGCTGCTGATCACATCTTACAAAAGAAGAGAGGCAAACACAAAGAAGAAACTGTCTGAACCCCACCCTGGGGGGAAACCTAATCTTCTGTCATTGCTGGATTTTATTTCTTAAGCTAACAAGAAAGGGGTTTTAAAATAAACCTAGATGGTTATTACCTGATAAGAAATCCTGTTATAAACTGCCTATTTTTTGTAAGGGAAGATATTGGTTTAACATGGATACTAGTATTAAGTGAATTCGTTGGTAATGGTATTTTGGAAGACGACTTAGGTCGGGAACTAACGTTTGCCTCCTCTGACGGAGAGAGAACTGGAATCTCAGGAGCAAAGTTGCTTGGGAAACCAGCCCAGGATCAACAATGATCTAGGCGTTTAGGCCTTGGAGTCTCTAAGATTAGAGAAATATTCGTCTAAGTAAAAACAAATTTGTACGACCTTTATCAAATCATGGGGCAGGCTTCACCCACTCGTGCCTCAGTCCTGCTGCCCTGATCCTCACAACACAGAACACAGCCTCACATTCCTAAGGGGTCAAGGACCACACCACTGAATAGCATTTAGCCAGCGGAGGTTATTTCAGAGCGAGGTGACACTCCCTTCCAGCTGAACACCATTAAACATGTTTAAAAGGAGACTGAGATGGCAAGAATCTTTTACTGGCTAGCCCAAATCTTATCAAAGTTAAATATTCAGCTAGAATATGCATCCAGCAACTTTCTTGAATATATACCTAGGATAACTCAAGAGCAAATGGTAGCCAGCCTTCTTTGTTCAGAATAAATAGGGAGCAGGAAACTTGTTCCCATCTAAAGTTGTAAAATAAGGGAGGAAATTGAAGATTTTAAAAAGAATCTTAAGTTAGAAATGATTTCATTCATCTAGCTATCAAGTTTGGTTTTTTTGTTTTGTTTTGTTTTGGGTTTTTTGTTTTTGTTTTTCTTGTTTTTTTTCGTGCTGGTGGTAGGAAGACAATTTTTAAAAATGTTGGCCAAAATCTTTTGTATGGCCTCATACTTTTCTTGTTGATTCTTTACCCCTTTCTCTCTTACCAAACTATCACTCAGCCTAATCCTTAAGGAATATGAAACAGAATTAACAGCTTTATACCAATCCCATTAGTGTGCTGTTAAATTAATGGGTTCATTTCTGCCCTCCAGCAAACTGCGGATTATAATCTTGAGACAAGCTACCTTTAGGCAGTAGGCAATCACTTTAAAAACCTGAAAGCAGGCAACATATGGTACACTACACAATATAAAAGTGTTTAAGAGGTACAAGTTTCCACCCTCCATGATACATGCCCAGTTTTAAATAAAACATAGCGTCATCTGGTTCACGCTTAAACACTGAAATTGAAATTATTGGCCATACTGTCATTTTCAAAACAATAGCTAACGGTTTGCACATGTGCTGTTTACAGATCCACAGCCTGTAAACACAGTCACCAACCACAACTTTGCAAAGGTAAATGACAGCTTGAAAAATTTCAAGTCTCCAGAACTCCTGGGATTTCCTCATTTTCCCCGCTTTCATTCATTCTTTCTTTCTTCCCACCCCACCCCCAACTCTAATCATAGACACAACAGAGCCTCCTCTGCCCGCGCATGCGTAACTTCCTAACCATGTCACCGCCACCCCCCCCCCCTCCACGACACATTTTCCTGCTGTTGAGACCAGCTGGGATGTATTAGTCATGCTGAAGCACGTCATGTAACACAGCAAAATATCAGGCAGCCCAGTGTCATGGGAAAAGTGAATCTATTTCATTATCTACCTAGGGAAAGGAAACAGAACTACCGCTTGAAAGGGCCTGGTCTTCTCTTCCGCGTTAATGTATATTTTGTTAGTATCATTAAGGACATTCCAAGGTCTTGCTGTCAGTGAACACAGTACATTAGGAAAGCAGCCGCAGTAATACTGTGGCACATGGGTCTTTTTCTACCCTTTTTGTTCACACACACATTTTGTAGAAGTTAAAAGATTGTGATTTTATTAAATAAAGGAGAAGGAAACTGTTATCAAACTAGGAACAGGTATGTCCTCTACTGTAAGACACTGCCTTGGAGATTTACAGGGAAAAATAATAATGTGTTGTGTAGCAGTGCTTCTCAAACTTGAATGTACGTGTGACTCAGTAGAGACCCTATTAGAATTGCTATTGCTAATTCAGGGGCCTGAGAGTTTGCATTTCTAACAAGCTTCCGGGTGAGGCTGAGAGCTATTGGCCCCAGGACCACTCTTTGATTAGCAAGGTTGTAGAGAAAGGGCAACATTTAGGACAGCTCAAACACAGCTGTTTAGAACTGTGGAAGACTAATGTCAATTGCAAAATCTGGTTGAGTTGGAAGGGATCTAGATCTAGGTGATAGTGAATGGAAGGGGTTATCATGGGTCTCTGGGGCATTTTTGGTTTAATCAATAAGAGACAAGAAAGACACTTCAGTTCATTTTAAAATTTTTATTCTGAATGATCTAGACAGGTCTGGAAACTCTCCAAATAATCTTGAGGTGGTATCTATTGGTATCTGCAATTTTTTCGTAGAGAAGCGGTGATGCAAAGAAGTTTTTCATACAGGATATCAAAAGACAGGTGAAAAATGGAACTGGAACTAGATTCTGGTTTGGTAGCAGTATCCCGAGTAATATCCCTGGGGGAAAAATAAGAAAATGATTTTCCCAACAATCTGGTCAAAGAAGTTATGATAATATAAAACATTAGCTTCTCTTTGCTCCTAGAAATAATTTACATCTTGTATTTCCTCTGCCATTCTTCACAAGTCACTAATTATGGTAGCTTGAAAATACTTAACAGTTATACAATTATTTTATTTTTCTAACAGCACAATTTTTAAGAAAGAAAACATTTTCAAAAAACTTTAAGATATCGTTTGGATGTTCTCCTTCATGATGCTAAGAAACATGAGAACTTTCATGCCCAACACAAATTTTGGGAATTATAAAAAATATATATTGGTCAAACTTTTTGTTTTTATTTCTTAAACTGTGTTATGATGTATTAGTTTCCTTGGGCTGCAGTAACAAATTACCACAAACTTGGGGGCTTACAACAACAGAAATTTATTCTCTTACACTTTTGGGGGCTAAGACTCTGCAAGTTTCGAGAGGGCAGAATCCTCAGCCTCTTTCTTAGCTTCTAGTGGTTATTTGCAATCCCGGGTGTTCCTTGGCTTGTAGAAATATCATCTAATCTATGACTCCATTGTCACATAATGTTCTTTCTGTAAGTCTCCTCTGTGGCTCTTCTCTTCTTCTAAGGAGACCAGATATATTGGATTAAGGCCCACCCTAATCCAGTATGACCTTCCTTTTAACTGGATTACATCTGCAAAGACCCTACAGTAGCCATTGTCCATGGTTTCACTTTTCACAGTTTCAGTTGGTCAACTGAAATTTGAAAGCAGATCATTTTAGCCTCCTTCTGAAGAAGTGTCAGAAGGTCAAGAGTAGCCTAACACTGTGTCGAGGTCCCTACATCATTCACCTCCCTCATCTCATCAATGGGTATTTTATCATCTGACATCATCACAAGACAAAGAATGAGTGCAGGAGAATAACATATTTTGAGAGAGAGAGATGACATTCACATAACTTTTATTACAGTGCATTGTTATAATTATTCTATTTTATTATTAGTGATTGTTGTTAATCTCTTCCTATGCCTAATTTTATAAATTAAATTTATCATACGTATCTGTGTACAGGAAAAAACAGTATATCTAATGTTCCATACTATCTGCGTCTTCAGGCATCCACGGGGGGGATGTAATGTGTCCCCATGGATAAAGTGAAACTATTCTATTTTAAGTAAGATTGCATTCACAGGTATGGGGATTAGGCCTTCAAACAGATCTTTTTAGGGGACACAATTAACCAATAACAGGTATTGTGGCATAGACTTTTTGTACTTTGAAATGTGAATTCCAAGTTGGGGTTTTTGTTTGTTTGTTTGTTTGTTTAACCATTTTGAACAGGTTCCTTTATTTATTTATTTATAAAGCAAGATGTTGAAGGGCTATGATTATGAAGGGGGGGAACTCAAGAAAAGTTTCACTTTTTAATGTAAAAAATATGAACTGATTAGACATGTAATAGATATTGGAAATCTTTGCTTTTTTTAGAGCTAATGCAATTCAAAATATTTATTCTTATGCAGATTTGTGCATGTTTTTATCCAAGAGTTGTTGCTTCACTATTTAATCGCTACAACCGGAACTGTAATAGAGTACCTTCTCACACTAATAGTTAATAGATAGTAAGTTTCTTGAGGACAGATATTGTCCCATTATTTTTATTTCTTCTCTGTTCCTAAAAGAGCACTATCAATGCATGTTTGCTGAACATGAGTTGAATATTTTCTCATATCTAGTTATACTGAATCATTTTGAAGGCAAAAAAAAAAACTTGTTTAATCATCATTAACATCTGATTGTTGCTGTCATCTATTGGACTTCGGGAAAAATGCTTATCAGAGGAGATGAATGACATTTCTGTAAACATTTATTATGTATAGCCTGTTGTTAGCCCTAAAGTATACAACAAACAATCAGAAACAATAAATAGTTGGTATCCTAGGTTCACCTTCAAGTCCCTAGGTTTGTAGGCTTCATATCTTAGCCCACCTGGTGTCTGAGTTACTTGAAACCCTTGATGTTAGCTAATGTCCTGCCCAGCTTGCTCACCTAGGAGATGGACTCAAACACGTCATTTGTGCACTGACTCTAGTCCATGATTTACTGAAGACAGGGTGAAGAAATTTGAACTGAAACCCTTTTTGATTTAATCACGTTCTCCTAGAATCCTTCGCATAATCTCTTTTCCCCATCCAACCACACGCAAGCAAAAATATTCAAAGAAGAATCTTTGCGGTTAAGATTCAAAAACTCATCTTGAACTTAAAGCTAGCAAATGTCAGCAGTTTCATGAGAGTTTGTCCTAATGTTCTCAGAAATCTAAACTATGGTATCTTGCCGCATTTAAAATTCTTCCCTGCTCGCCGCAGTCCCTAATAATATCCTGGCCATGCACCTTCATCTATATTCATGAGAGTGCAGATGCAGCCAAATTAGTGGCAGCAAAGCACATTTTACAGTGTAGAAAATACAATCTGGCTTCCTTTAAACATTTTTTGACAAAAAAGTTTTATTTAAAAAAAAAAAAAGAAAACCAGACAGATTTAAATTCACCACCACCCGTCGGAGGAGTCTGTTACAAATGCACAGCTGGCTTGATGATGAGTGACAAATCAAAAGTCAGAGAGAAACTTCCCGATCATCTGAGCCCTTGCCACCCGATTAGCAGAAGAAAAACAGGGCAGATGGAGGGAGACGCAGCAGTTCGGAGGGAACAGATGGCCACTACGAACTTGATATATGAAATTAATAACACTTTCTCAAATACAATTAGTAACAGGAATACATTACCTGAATTTTCATAACTGTGAGCAAGCTGACATTAAATGAGGTTTTTCAGATTAACAGTTGATGTGGCATTGATATTTGGAGGGAAATAAAAATATATAGCAATAAGAGAAACCTTTTGCTTTTTGGTGCCATTGATCAGGATGTTGTAACATATGAAAGGAGAATTGCAATTCAAAGAAATTCCACATTTAAATCTCACTAATTGGGATTTTTTTTTCCCTAATGTAGCCATTTGGACCACATAATGCATGAAATACTTAAGAGCCTCGTAGATGTATGCAGCATCTACTACCCTGGATGAATTCTTCTTTAGGAAGAAATGAACCATTATACATCTCCCTACAGATAAACCCGGGGGGAAAGCAAACAAAAAGGGACACAGGGCAGTAAAAAAGTCAAGATAAGATGAAATCAAGAGATGGGCTTTTGTGTTTTTCACAGCTCTTCCTGGTACAGTAAGTAATTCTAGGAAAGTCAAATTAAGCTTTCTCTATTTTGATGCCCAGTCTCTAGAATGGGGGCAAAATGCTTGTGCTGTATGTCCTTGTTCAGAGCACTGTCAACCAGAAAACCTCTTTTAATTCAAAACCTGTGATAGTGATACTTTTGGATTGTGTTAACCGGTCCTCTGGGAAGCTGGAACTCAGGAAGCTGAGCTCAGTTAGGTCAGCCTGTAGTACAGCCTGAGGCTCCTGAGGAGACAGACAGGACGATGATGGAGCTTTGCTGAACGAAGCCCAAAACCATCCACTGCAGGAGGCTAAGGCAACATGGGGTGTGACAAGACGAGGCCACAGCAGCAGCTGCTTGGGCTTCCTGATGGCAGCCAAGGGCACACCCATACTGATGGGGGAGAGATGCCACAGGCTCAATGCCCCTGGGACAGATAGGCTTGAGTGTCTGTGCAGAAGTGCAGAAACTGAGTCTGATGCAGGGGAAGCGCAGGAATATACAAGCACACCAGCCACATGCACTTATCCAGGGTGGCAAGAGGAGTCTGTACGAATCCCAGGGGGCAGATCATTAGTTCTGCTACAACATGAGAATGGCTGTTTCCACAGCTGGTGGCTGCAGAAATTGGCACAGAGAGAAGGTAAGGACATCTCCTCTTTCTTGAATGGAATAACTCTGGGTATTCAGGTAAACACAGGAATCACAAAAAGAAGGCTGTTCTGTGTTAAGGAGCTAGCACCCTCCTGTTTGTAGGAAGGAGAATAGAGACCAAAGAAATCAAGATAGACTTCCCTCTTCCAAACCATCCAGGAATATACTTTACTAAATAGTCAAAACAGGTACAACTGGGAAAGCCTAGAATACAGGATGAAAATAGAGCACTTACTAGACATTAAATAATATTAATTTTAAGTAATATCTGGATTTAACTTGTGGTTTCAGCTGTGAAGCCAATTAGCAGTGGGATCTCAGCTAAATCAATGCCTAAACCTTATACCACCTAATGAGTTTTCAGGTATAAAATAAAGGGCTTGAGTTTTATAAAAGAACTATCAGATCTAAAAAACGTTAACATACCCATGGATATTTTGTTAATACTTTTAGGTTGCAATAACATGTCCATTTATAACCAAGAATAAGAAAGTTACTATTACTAGAGAGGTTAATACTAAATGTTCCCAAAGAGTTCCATCTACTAAGAAGTGGGTAGGCTTTTCAAGGTTGAGCATGTTTTCTCTCACACCTGAAACAAAAATAAAATCATCACACACATTTAAGTTAGGCTAGGGAATTAAAGTAAGTATGAACTGGATAGCATGTTTCTGAGTTTGGGTTTTCCTAAAAGCAGACCTTGACACAATAACTTGAGGACAAGTAGTTTATTGAGGACGTGGAAGAAAACACCAGTGTGGGTAGATGTAGGGGAAGTAAGATAGAAAGTGAAGACAGCCAATAAAAGTCGCGTTACCAAACCTGTCACCGTAGCAGGTGACTGTTGCTCGATCTCACTAGGAAAACTCTGGGGTTCCACGTAAAACACACAGCCCAGCCTTCACTCGCTGGAGGGTGAGGGAGCTGGGGGATTTAGGCACCAGCTACTGCCAGTCATTGTTTAAGGGCTGCTCCTGGGGATTAATTCCCCTGGACTTCTGGTCTGTGCTGGTGGACAAGCAGGTTGCTCAGGCAAAGATCAAATACTGGCAGTTAGAAGTCGGGTTGAGGCGCCTCTCAGTGTTAAGTGCAAGGGGATATGG